CCCCCAGCCCCGGCGCGCCGCCGCCCTCCCCTCCGCCCAGATTCAGGCGTGCCCGCCCTTGGAGGAAAAATTGAGGGAGACACGGACCGAGGAGACTTTTTTTTTTTTTTTGCAAGTCCAAGGAAGGAGGGACCAAAAAATTTTAAAAGCATAATACATACCCAGACTGTTTTATATACGTATATACAAACAAAACCGGAAGAGGAAAAAAGAGGCAACCGCGAGATCTCCTTTATACTGTGGTGGTGTTTTGTTTTTTTATTTTCAAGAAGGTTGAAGATGCCTGACACACCAAAACTGCACTGGCGAGGTGTTCCGTGCCCGAGAGATGTCCTGTAAGGCAGCGGTGGACAGCACCTGCCCCGTCCTGCTCAACTCTTGGAGAGAGAGCGTCCCCCTTTCTTTTCTTCCACCTCCTCCGGAAGGGCTGCCTCAGAGATCCGCGGAAAGCCCTTTTCCTGGGAGCCGCCTGAAAGAGAGCGAGCAACAGCACCAGGTTCCCTCGGGTCTGACTCTGGGCTGTTTTTCTTGGCCATATTAAAGTCTTTTGGGAACAAACAAATCAACTCTGAAACGGGAAAGAGAGGAGCAAAAAGCAGTCTCCAGGGGGAAAAAATTCACAGCTTCTGAGATTAACAGACTGAACAGCAAAGCCAAAAGAAAGTATCCTCAAAGTAACCTTGGGAATAAAAGCGTGGAGAGGGGCAGAGGATGGGCTGGGACCCGGACGCCCAGCGTGGAGAGGAGACAGGCCCGGCCGGCCACAGAGCCAGGCCCTGCCGCCTACCAGCTTTGCCGCTGCGCGCGGGGCAGACCGTGCCTAAAGATGCCACCGCTAATATTTTTTTTATTAATATTTTTTATTTTTTATTTCCGGACTGACTCCGCTAAAGGGATTTAGAGAGACTGAGCACCAGCCGCCGCACTTACCTGACTTCTGTCCTCAACTCGTTGCCAACCTTGACTGATGGGTGCTGTGGAAATGATTATATAATACTGCCCTTTGCAAGCAGTGTTTTTGGTAGGTTTTAATAAACAGACTTTTCAAAAGACGGCAATATAGAATCGTTAGATCCGTTGTTGATCTAAAAATATTTGCTTTATATTTTCATTAAATGACTTCTTTTAATATTTTATTCAGAATACCTATGAACTGCTGCAAAACGGTAATTTATTTTTCCCCAGATCTTGTATTACGTGTTTTTTTCAGACGAGCACAAATCAAAATGAAATGAAAATATGGACAGTTGTTAGGTAATAAGGGTATCTTTTGATGTGATCATTTGATTGTAATTTAATTTGAGTAGTGATTCCGTAAGAGCTGATTGAGAAAATAAATTTGTTAGAAGGAAGCAGTCTGTGTCTGATGCATACACACTGTGCGGGAAGAGAGGAGCTCTCGGAAGAAATATTTTTTTACTAACGCAGGTCTCTAATAGGTGATAGAGCTGAGGAAGCAGGGCTGCAACTCCTAAGGGGTAGCTGGGGACCCAGAGTGAGCTGCAGGCGTCCCTGGAACAGCTGGTATTTTAACACAGTACTCACGCCCTTGTTGATCCATGCATTTCACTATAGTTTTCTCCCCCTTAATTTTAGTGGGTGTCTTTTTAGTGTTTGTAGGTGAGGTTGTCTATAAATGCTAACCCTTTTCTTGAAGATATCTGTGTTCTTTATCGAATGATTGAACTACACCACCAGTAAAACTGTGCCAAGCTGGTGATGAATGAGCCGCTGATACAGCTCCCCCAAGTTCAGCCTTTTTTAGCCTCTCATTGCCCCCCTACATTTTTCTATGCCTCTTTTCTCTTTTTCTGAAGACTAATGGTTGTAAAGAAGAGCTTACAGGTCTATAAAATATTTTGATATCAATTACCTCCTATTCCTAACTATGTGTAATTAAATTTAAATTATTAAGCATTTTTGTTGTTTTTGGTCTTTCCTATAATGAGACAAGATAGTTCAGAAATCCTCCCGTTGGCCCATCCTGCATCCCATCTCTGCCATTACCAGCTGGTGCATCAGGCCTTACGTTTCTGTGGTCCGTCTCTCCCCGGTGTGATTCTTGATCTTCTTTACTGGTGCTGGGGGGGCTTTAGCTTTTTTAGGTCGCTTTTTAGATAAACCTGCAGAGTGGTCACATTGATCGAGTTAATGTATCAATATTTACAGTGTGGGAAAATGAAAGTGTAGTGCCCCTGGTTGGGAGTGCTTCAGAAGCAAGACTGAGACTCCTTGGCTGAATCCTGACATACTGTGCTTTTCTTGAAGCCATGATTTCACAGATGCATCTGCCCTGTTCTTACTTAGCTGTCATTCATTTTTTGCTTCCCTCTCGCCCCTTCACTTCCTCTGCCTGTGATATCATGCAGGGGTTAAAAAATTCCCGGAAAACCGAGAGAGCAACCAGGAACAGTCATTTCTCCAGACAGGCCCTGTGTCACTTCCATAAATCAAGCCTAGCCAGATGGCTGTGTACAGGGTTGCATTATTTTAAACACCAAATCGCACTAAAAATCACAATCGTTTTGATTTGTGAAATCTGAAAAAGGCCATATTTATTAAACAGAGAAAAGAGAAAACCGAAGACAAGAAGCCACAGTTTACTTTTCTCTCCTTCTTGGCTCCCCTCCCTCTTGTTATAGCCATGGCCCAGCCCAGGGAATTTACGACCTGGATGGGTGGGGTGAAGTTCATGGGGTTTGGGGGGTCTTGGGGGAAGGCAGAGGAAGCTTCTCCTGGCAAGCTGAGAACTGGGCAGGTGGTCCGAATGTGGTGTACACTGCTGGCATGTGAGTTGCAACCCTGTTTTTATTTTCTGCCGAAACAGTGGTGCTCGATTAGATAAGGAGTAGATCTATTTAAAATTTTAGGAAGTCTTTGCTTACTTGACTTAGCTGACAACAAAAGAGCTAACATTAGATTTCACACTGTTTTCTATTAAAAAGCAACCTGTGCTGATTACTTTGGAAGAAGCACTGATTTGGGGGTGGCTGGGGGATCTTCAGTAGGGAAGCTGAGCCATCAAGCCAATTTTTTTCATTATTTTGCGTTTTATAAAGCGGGCTAATGCTTTATTACAAAATTTTTTCAACCCCTTGAATGTACTTACAAGATGAAATTTCACGGTTGAGACCCAAAAGAGAGGAGATATAACGGAGAGGTTTTGTGCTAAGGCGTATATTGTTACACATGTAAATAATGAAAATATTGTTATATATCACCAGATCTCGTTAATGAATTTGGTCATTGTGTTGCTTTGCAGCGCAAGTGTCTTGTGCCTCGTAAAGTGTTCATTTGTTTCCTCCCCTTTCAGTCCCTCCCCCTCCCCTTCCAACCCAAAGGAAAATGACCAAGTTCTGTCCCAGGCCTGGCTAATCCCAAACTGGGCCCATTTACAGTTTACAGTCTCCTGTGACTCTGGGTCACTGGCCCAAGCCTTGGTCCCCTTCCTCATGCAGCTGTTGCCCCCTGGCAAGTCCCTGCGATCAGTCCTGTAAGGTGTACTTTAAACACTTCGGTGTGGTTGCTCTCTCTTTTGTTTTGTTTTGTTTTTTTAGTACTTAGCCAGGGACTTCTTTGTTCCGAAACAGAACTGTCCACCATCACTCCTAGCAGAGATTCCCCGGGGCATCTTCCATGTAGCATCCACTGTGTGTTCATTACCCTGCTCATAATCTGTTTTGTATGAATGATTTCCAACATTCAGAGAATAATTGGTTCTAATATTCAATGCAGTATATACTATGGATAGTTTTATCGATAAGTGTAATATTTTAACAATTAAATTTGTTTTTTTAAATTATATATTTGTAAAGTATTTATCCTGTTGGAAGCAACAATATATTGTTGTATTTATTCGTTTATTTTTGTAATAAATGATCAACGTCTTTAAGCTAAATCAAAAATGACACTTTTATATATCTATATAAAATGCATTTGAAGAGATGGGCATACTTGCACCAATTTGTATGTAAATAGAGTGAGGTCCATCAATAACGTGTAGCTCTCAGAACTAAATTGAAGGAAGAAACATTCTCTCCACATGGAGTTTAGTTTGCCCAAGTTCCAGGGTAATTAATCAACTCGAAAATGGATGCAACAAGTCTTGGCACTGGTTGCAGACTTGGAATTAGTTATTCAGGAGGTGGACCGGTTTTCTTTCTCTTTTTTCCAGGCAGAAAGATAGAAATTAAAGTATTCTCTTCTTTCACGTGTGTGGCTGGCTGTGCGGATGAGGGCAATGCGGTTTTGGTGATAAAACCTAATAGCTGGCGCGGTCCAGAGCTCTCTGTGGGGAGAGAGTTGACCGAGGCTGGAGAGTTTGGGGTGGTTGGTGACCCCCAAGCAAGGTGACCCCAGGCAAGGAAGAGTGGTGCACATTTAAAAGATCCTCTTGAAATGGCTGTGGGAGGAGAAGCCCTCCCCTCGGCAGCCCTGAGACCGATAGCCGGCACAGGTGTTTCTGTCCGGGGGTTGCTGGGGGAAGGGGTCCCCTACCCGGGTCCCTGCCTGGCTCCCTGCTCTGCTGGCAGTGGCTTGGTCATCTGCTGGGCCCTGGGCCTGAAGGTCACCCACGTGACCTCCTGGCCTGGGGAGCCTCACGGTGGGCTTGGTCTTGATTTCAATAGGGAAATCAGAGGGCTCTGCGTTTACCTCCTGAACTTCCCAGGATAGGAAAGGAAATAGCAAGGGTCTGGAGGAGCTGGGGTGGGAGCAGCGGAGATAGCAAGAGGGATCCTGGTGTAATCAGATTCTTTGATTTTGTTAGCCTGGCTCATGGCCTATTAATTAGATTACTCTCTCTTTCATTCTTGATTTCACATCCGTGTTTGTTCCTGTATCCTAAAACGTGGGCGCGAGCCGGCCGAGCAGGCGCACATGATGTCACTGCCGGCCCCGGTGGCCGCCTGGCCTTCTGGCGGGCTGCGGGCCGCCTCGGATGAGTCCTCTTCTTCTAGGAGGAGTCGGCTCTGGAAGTGACCTCAGAGGGGTCTGGGAGGAGGGCAACAGGCACTCTTGTGGCGGCACAATGCGTGTGTGTGCATGCGTGCGCGCACAGCCCTAGCGAGCAAATGCGGTGCGCCCCCGGGGAGGGGTCACGTCAATTCGCAGGCTGGGCCCAGAGGCCCCCGGGCAGGGGCTTGGTTAGGTGCAGACCCCGTTTGCGGTGCAAACCTTGAATGGAAGTCCGAAGTCACCAGAAGCGAGCAGGAGGGGCAGGCCCCCGGCGTCCAGCTCTTCTCCGGGGAGGGCGGCAGCCAGCACGGTGGTGGTGGCCCTGGGCCGCCTGGTCCCTGCTCAGCCCGGCACGGCTGGGCGGCCCCGCGTGGCAGCTGCTGTGGGTCCCACAAGTTGTTTTCCTCGTGGCGACCATTCAGCAAAACGCACGATCCTTTCTCAAAGATTTAAATTTCGCGGATGAATTACCATACACCGGTTGCTTAGCAACTAAATTCAAGCAGGGCTAAGAATATGCAAGCTTTTTGTATTCTCATTAATAAAAATGCCAGTCTGACACAGCAACCCGACTTTGGATCACTGCAACTTCTGTAAAAGCCGTAGGAGAATACAAACCGATCCTGCCATTTAATTACAGATCAAAATGGCTTGAAACGCAATGTTTTGTTCATCTATCTTAGTCCTAAAAGCGATATAAAAAATAACGGCTTTCAAGAGCAGTAGTAAGTTTTCTTTTTCTTTTTTTTTTTTTTTAATGGAGTTGTCTGTTGGGGTTACTGATAATTGTCAACTGACACCTTGTGAGACGCAGGTTGAAGCACCCCATTTCCTCCAGGTTCCTACTCCTCCCCTGGACCCCTCACTCTCTTCCCTGGCCAGATCGCTGCTGCTGCTGCTGCTGCTGCTGCTGCTGCTATTGTTGTTGTTCTAGCCAAGCGTTGGGAGGCCTGAGGTAAAAGACAGTTCACAGAGTTGTCCCGTGGGCAGTGGCCTGGGAGACTTAGGAAAGTTTCCCTGGGAGCTAGGCAAGTGGCAGAGCTTGGGTCTCAAGTTCCGGGGGTCCTGGCCACAACTTGGCGGAAGGCTAGGGATTTTCACGGGGGCTCCGCTGACAGCTGACCCGGGAGTTCAGACAGCTGAGCTCAGGGTCTGCTGACCACATTCTCAAAAGCCCTCCGCTGAAGACAGTGTGACCTGAGCTGGTCTCTGGACCCCCTGGTTCTGCCCAGCCTGTGGCCCAGCAAGACCAGGGCCTGGGGTTTCTGTACTGGAGGGTGGGACTCCGGGCCTCTCCCCAGAAGCCACACCGGAGGGAGACAGGGAGTGAGGGAGACACTCAGGCTCAGAAAAAGGCTCCCGCCAGCTGGCTAGGCTGCTCTGATGAGAATGCAGGGAGGAAGGGGTCAGAGGAGTCCTCTCAGCTCAGCTCAGCATGGCAGCAGGTTCTGGGAGTGTCTGAAGGCCAGGCCTCTGAAAGTACAGCATGGGACAGGGCTGCAAGCAGCGGGGTGGAAGTTTCAGGCCTCCCTGGGCTGGCCCAGCTCTGCTTCCTGCGGGTGGGAAATTCTGCCTACTGTGGGCCTGGGTCACCGTCACCCTGCCTGAGGACTGCGGGCCCTGACCTGCAGTGACCCTGGAACACCAGCCCTGTGGTGTGTGTCCAGTCCACCATGGGCGCAAAGCTGCAGAAGCAGGTGTGGTTGGCTTTCGAAAGACACAGAGGCAGAAGCGGCCCCTGACTGATTCCTGTGCCATTCCAGGGCGCCGGCAGGCAGCATCCCGAACCTCTGCAAACCTGGGACGTTTAGGAGGGAAGCATCTCAGGACATCCTGGATGCTTCAGACCCACTTCTTCCCAGTAAACACAAAGCGAGGCTGGAACTCAGACCCTAAGTGCAACTATTTCTGTATTAAAACTGTTCAGAGGCATTAGAACCCTTTCAAAATAAAACACACTAAACAGGAAGCCAGTTATTTACAAATACAATTGCCCTAGACAAACCACATTCCACGGATGTAATTCATTAATGGACTCTGTTCCTTTTCTTCCCTTTGGAAAGAGAATTTTAGTTTTTAAACATAGCTGGGGCTCAGAGGTGAGGAAGGGAAGCAGCAAATTTACCTGTTCTTGGTGCGGGGGGCTGCCCAATTTCTGGTTCTGGAGGTGTTCAACACTCTAAGTATCCCAAAATGCAGGGAGAGGTTTTTGTTTGCTTTTTGACTCTTCAGAAAAGAACTTTTCTGGTTATGTTTGCAGTCACCAAAGTTTCCCAGTAGAAATGTGCTTGCTGGTGATGGGACACTCATTGGGGTGTGTGTGCTTGTGTGTGTCTGTGTGCGTGCGTGTATGTGAACAAAACTAGAATTTCAGTCGTGGGAGCTGGCTGAGAATGTAGGCACACTGCATCTGCAGAATGTGCTCAGTCGCTGTCATTTTCGCAGTGTCATGGAGCACTCACCAGACACCCCTCCCAGGAGAAGCTCTGCTTAGGTAGAGCTGCCAGGCAATCTCCAGCAGAGCCTGGGTCTGGTCTTTTCTCCATTTGGGAAGTTTTGCCGGGGTAAATAGCTTTCTCTGTGATTGACGGAGGGGTGTTGCCTGGGGAAGAGCTGTCCAGAGGAAGCAGGGTCGGGTGTGACTGCTCCAGGGGATGCTGTGAGTGTCCAGTAAACATGAGACGCCCAGGATGCACCTGAGTGATGTGTGGGCTGCGTCAGTCCCCGTACCAGACCTGGTGACAAAGCACAGCACGCGTAGCTACCACTGCTCCAGGTTCCTTGCTGTTGCTGCAAAACCATGGGACACACACTGGGTGGGAGAGAAAAGCATTTTTTAATCTTTTTTAAAGGACAAAAGGTGTTTCGCGCCGGAGACTCCCTGGGCAATCACAGTAGCTCTATTCTCCAAGAAGGAAGGTAGGCCTTCATTTCAGAGCGCTCCTGGTGCTGGCACTGAAACAAAAAGTGTCAAAACCGCCACCTTCCTACCTAGGATGGACAAGTCCTCAAGGTTTGAGCTGGATGAGGGTCACACAGGGATGGAACCTGCTTTTCACTTCCCTTTCCAAGGCTGGAAACTCCCCTGCAGAGGGAAAGATAAATTTACTAGACCTAACCAGAAAGTATAGGCTCCCCCAGGAATCAGCAAGATGAAAATAAATGTCTTGGTAACTTGGTCTTGAGAATCTTTGGGATACAATAGTGGAGAAAAGCCATGAAGCCTGCAGCAAACAAAATAACACTTAAGAAACGACTTTTCACTAACATGTCAGAGGAGAAATCTTTCAGACTTCAAGAGTGCTCTGCCGTTGTTTCTCTTTGGTATGCCCTGGAGATTTCTGCCAAACAGGGTTTTCAAAACGTTAGACCCTGAGAGAAAGGTCCTTCGCTTTCCCAAGAACTATTTAACAGTTGTCCTGCATGATTCTTGTGGGCAGTGCTGGGCCCAAACCCAGGTCCTCCTACGGGCACCGCAAGCCTTCACCACGGAGCTCCACACCCAGGCTGAGTGTTTTCATCTGGAGAGGGAGTGTCCAGCGATTAGCCTGGGGTGTCGCAGAGTGGACAGTGGGAAGGGGAGTGCAGGGGCAGCGGGCAGCCCACACCCAGAGCGGGTTTCTGCTTTTCAGCCAGAAGGCGCTGGGACGGTCAGCGCCGTTTACATGGGGGCGGAGTCCCTCGGACTTCCCTCGAAGTGTCCAGGCCAGGGCCTGCAGGGCGGGCGGAAGTGCTGGGCCGAGAGAGACCCAAAGGGAGATCAGTTACCTTCCCTTTTGTTCCTGGGCCTTGGACTAGAGCTACCGGGAGGGGCACGAAAGCCCCAGGGAATGGAGCCACCACTCCCTTTCCAGGACCCCTTAGAACCCCCAGGGCTAGCTGATTTGGACCCAAAAAAGGTAACCTGAGGAATCCCTGTGTTACATAACAGAGCCCTCCTGGCGGGGGGTACACGATTTTCTCCAGCGACCCTGTGCAGGCTGAGGCCGCGAAGACAAATGACACAGGGCAGGGCGGAGGAGCGGGAGCCCCTCGCCTGCCTCCTGTGAGCAGCTGTGCGTGGAAACTGCCTTCTTGCAACCCTGCGCCGCGCCTGTCCCGGAGACCGTCCCACGCGGAGAATGACCGAGAGTCACGGACACCAGACGGGAGGAGGGACCGGGACCTGGTGGCCCCAAGAGGGCCAGGTTAGCACGAGCTGGGCCATCTGCCTCCCCGCGTGGGAGCGCAGGGCTCCTTCCTTTCCCGGCAGCGGGCCTGGGCCTGTGCCGCGCCGCAGCGCCTCGGGCGCCCCCAGAAAGGCCAGCACGGCCCGAGGCGCCAGGGACCCTGCGCCCCAGGCCTGAGGGCACAGCGAGAGCGGCCTGCAGCCCCTGCGCCCCCGCACCTCGGGCACAGCGCGGCGCACCGCAGGGAGCGGCCTCCATGAGGCCTCCTGCAGCTCGGCCCGAGTGATCGGCTCCCAGGCCCACGTCCCCGCCGCATCCCAGCCGGAGCTCCAGGCTTCCTCGCCTCGAGCGGCCCGCACGCGCTCCTCCGCAAGGCCTCGCCCTTGGTCGGCAGGGAAGGTCGTGGCTGGATCCACGAGCCGAGGCCTCCCTGCTGGGCGAGAGGAAGCGGCAGGGAAGGGAAGGCGCTGAGTCACTCGGCCTGGCAAGGGCAGGAAAGGGCGCCCCCAGGACCAGCCAGGGCTCTCTGGGCCTTCCAGCCTCACGCCCACGCACTCCGCTCCAGCCGGGTAGAAGTTGGTGCCCCGCAGTGGGGCAGGGGCTCGGCAAGGGTGCAGGCTGGTGGAATTCACCTGGAAGACAGGTGAGAAACGGCAAAAGGCAACCCACCCTCAGGGCCCTCGGCTCCCCAAGCCCTGGGTGCACCCCGTGCTGGGAGCAGCAGAGAAGCTTCCTTCTGGGCGCTAGGGGCCCAGGATCTGGGCTCAGCACAAGACAGAGCCCAAGGTCAAGGCTCGCAGCAGGTGCAGGAACCGCAGGGCGTAGGTGTCCACAGCTTCCAGAGCGCTTGCTGGGGTGGATGACATGGTCAGTGGCTGTCCCTCCACCTCAGCCTGCCCCCTTCCTTGATTCAACCCCAGAGGTGCCTCAGAGCCCGGATGCCGGCTGTGTCCCCTCTGCTAGGCCCCGCTGAGGAGATGCAGCGTCCAGGTCAGGCCTGCGCACTGGTCACTGCACAAATGACCCTGCCCCTGGGCCTGCTGCAGCCTCCAGCCAGTCTGTCCTTGGGCTTGGGGGACATCTGGGGAGACCGTGAGGGGCGCAGTTCCTGCCCCCGGTGCCAACAGTGCGAATGAGCTGCGTGCGTTCTGGCTGACCAGTCCGGTGTATTTTGTGTCTATGTTTGTCAGTTCTTCTACTCAGGGAGAATAGCAGGAACTTTTAAAGAGATCCCGTGTGTGTCCTCCAACCACAGCTCTGCAGTGAGGGTGGAGCCGGGAGCACTGCTAACTCCAAGGACATTGTCTGAACCTTCCTAAAACGCAACCTGAAGCTGCAAGGGAGACTATGGTGGCTGACCAGGGACCAAGATGCCATCAGGGGGCCTTTGACTGGCTGGGAAAGTTTAAAGCTGCACAGTTTCCATGGAAGAAACAAACTGAACTGCATTGACTTGGGTGGCTGAGGACATCACCCCCTCCACGCCCCCAACACACCCGAAGTCTGGAACCTGGGCAAGGACCAGCTATGGGTGCAGGTTTTCCAGTACCGTAGAGGCCCTCTGCTCTCCTCTTTATAGGTCAGCTCTCAAGCAAGTTGCAAGTGGAGGGGCTCTGCCTTCAGCCCTGTCCACATTCTGCACCGTGTGCAGGGAGCAGGTCTTCCTGGAGGGGTGGGGACGAGCCAAGGGGAGGGGGTGGAGGAGGTCACCGACCCAATGGCCTCAGGTATTCTAGTCTTCCTGCAGAAAGAGCTCTGCTCCTTCTCTAGGCACGGAGCCCTCGACCTACTGCCGGGCCACAGGGCCTCAGGGCCCTGAGCCTCAGCCACAGCTCCCAGTCCACCTGTCCAACTGTCCACCCGTCCTCCTCCAGGGAGCCCTCACTTCAACCTGTCTGCCCCGCCCACCCCAGGCAGGGGCAGGCAAGTCCTAAACTGGAGTTGTTCCCTGAAGTCCCTGTTGGGGGCCATGGGGAGCCCTTTCTCGGCCTCTTACTCCCTTTCCTGGGATTCTTGGGGTCAGCAAGACCCCAAGTACCTCAGGGGTACCGCTGAGTGTGTGGAGAATTTGCTGTTGATCCATGAAGTCGTCCTGCTAGGATCGGCCTTGAGGGTCAGCTGCCCACTTCATGAAGCTGTCTCCGCTTTGCCGTCAGGGCTCCAGGTCCAGCAAATGCTCCCCGACAGTCAACAGTCAGGGCCAGGCCCCAATCAAGTCTGTCCCTCGGAAGCCCCCAAGAGTGAGTGCCGCAGGCCCAGCCCACACAAAGGTCCTGGGACTCCTTGGGTATCCGGGGTAATCCCAGCCATCCCGTTACCTGTGGCGGATCCCTTCCTGCCCCGAAGTGTTGCTTGGCAATGCCCCACTGCAGGGCAATTAGCTCTGGCAGAGTGGAAACCAGAAGGAGGCTGCTGTGTGTCTCAGCAAGAGGACGCGGTGCCCGGAAACTGCCTGAACTTCCACCGCATGATCCCAGGCGGCTCAGGTCTCTCCGCCGTGCAGCCTGGCAAGGACACCGCAGCCAGATGTGCCGTCGCCGTGGGAGCCCACCAGGAGCTGAGGCACAGGGCACACTCGAAGTTCATTGTCCAGGGCCTGGAAGCCTGACCCCTGGGACTGCAGGCATCCAGACAACTGCCAGCGCACCCCCCACTGCCCTGCTTGGGGGGGCGGGGTCTCCTGCTTCCCTGGGCAGAGGAGCCCCTGAGCCATCCCCCTTCTGCTCTCCCGCTGGGGGCTGCCCTGGCCTTGCGCCCCTCGCTCCTCCCACGCCTGTACCTTCCACCCCAGGAGGGAGCGTGAACCCCTTTGGGTGAGGAGATTGTCCACACACAGGCCAGGAGAAATGGCCAGTCATCTTCAGCTACAGACCAGCCACGAAGTAACCCCTGACCCTACGCACTATTCCCAGGAACTTTTCATTTTTCAAAAGGTCGCTTGGTGAGTCTGCGCATGACACCCCAAAGCCACTCAACCCATGAGCAGAAAAAGAGAAAATGTAGGAAGTGGAGCCAATTCCTGACTCTCCCTTGGCCCTTTGGGTCCCAGCCCTCCTGATCGCCCTCACGTCTGCAGAGGCACAGCGTGTCCTTTAAGCCCGGCAGAGCTTCCTGCAACCAGGGTAACTGCAGGAAGAACCCTCCCCACCCTGTCCCAGTTCCACCTCCAAACTGAGTGCCGCAGACACCGCCATCAATTACATTTTGTACAACCTGACGGGGTCAGGAACGAAGGCTCCATAATTTACCAGAAGTAGCCATAAACTTTACTGAAAGAAATAACTCCCACTTCACCCGTGGACCCCTCCTGGCAGACTCTGAAAACGTCTCTGGGCTTCTCCTTTTGCGGAAAGGAGTAAAAATCTTAGGTAGCAAAATTTTTGAAAAGCTCAATTATCTTGGCCCAGTTTGGAGGCCTCACCGCTAACCATCAGTAATAAAGTCACTGGTAGTCATAATTGATTTTTGATTGCTTGGTGTGGTTCGTGCTTTATTGGCGACCAGACGGAGTTTCCAGGGAAGGGCCGGTGGAGGGGAAGCCAGGGGCTGGTGGGCGACTTTTGGGCAGAAGGCAAGCAGCTGCGCGCTTTCGCGGTCGGTGTCTCACGCACCCCTCCCGCCCCCGCTTCCTGTAAACGAGGAATAAACGTTACAGGTCTGGGTTTTAACTTCTCCAGAAGAGATCCCAGAACATCTAGATGTGTGCTCCAGAACCGAGGACGCGAGGCAGCTGCTCACACCGAAAGCCGAACAGAAACAGCGCGAAAGGAGCAACAACCGAGCGGCGAGAGGCCCCAGCCTCCCAGCAAGTTCACTCCTTCGCAGGAAGAGGGTGCGCGCGGAGCGCGGTCCCCGGGGCTCCGGAGAAGCGCGCGGCGGCGAGGCCGGGCGGTGCCTGCGCGCGCAGCCGGGTCCCTGGGCTCTCCTGGCCTCGTGTCCGTCCCCCCGCCCACGCGCTCTTTGATTCGAGGGACCAGGTCCCGACCCAGCCGGGGCTGCACCCTCCGCGC